AGAATTTTCTACAACTATGTTCATAACTAGCGCAAAATGATCCGAATAGCCCATTTCGACAATTTCGACAAATGGGTTACAGAAAAAAGTATAGAAAAAACTTTTGAGGTTACTGGTATAGAACTAACATGTGAAAAGAAAAAATAACAATCATTGCATTATATAGATCACCAAGTGGTGGCATAAATGAATTTCTTATCCATCTAATAGATATTCTGGAGAAACTAATTCAGAAAGATCAATATATCATTTTAGTGGGAGACGTAAACATAAACATCCAAGAAGGTGGAAGTAGTCACAAAAAATTATTACATGTTACAAAAGCTTATAATCTGACCGTGACAATAAAAACGCCTACACGAGTAACTAAAAGTACGGCTGTAACTATAGACCAAATCATAACTAATATACCGGCTAAATACTGTCATACTGAGGTAATAAACAGCCTACTTTCAGATCATTTTGCACAATGTATAACTGTTAATATGTCTGTACCACAACAAACAAGATATTACAAAGAGGTCAGGAATATATCAGAAGCCAATATAATAGGTGTATGTTCTTCAATGCAAACTGAAACTTGGATTGAAGTGTCCAGGGAAAATGAGATAGAAAAAAATGGGACTCTCTTTTTATAGCATTTTTACTATTATTTTAATATAGCCTGTCCCAAACTGAGGAGAAATACCATAAGTACATCAAAAAGCCCCCTGATAAAAAAAGATGCCATAACAGCAAGAACAAGACTGAAGGATTTGTACAACCTTCATATGCAAAGTAAGACTCAGGAACATAGAGACATCTATAAAGCATACAAAAAGGAATATAATGTAATATTAAAAAATGCAAAAGCAAACTACATTCAGAATGTTATAACACTCCAAAAATATTGTGGGAATTTGTTAATATGGAAAGAGGCTCACCAAAAAATACTCTCACTACTAATATACACTTTCTTTCTTTCTTTCCTTGGCACCACAGCCCCAGGGGGCCTAGGCCTACCTCCATGAACTTCTCCGTTCACTTCGGTACTAATATACACTTACAAGATGGAAATGAAATAGTCTCAAGTCTGAGTAGAACATGTAACATATTTAACAAAACCTTCATAGAAACTGTAAATGAACTTATACTTGACAAAAATTTATTACATCCACAAACTAGTAATAACAATATAAGCATAAAAGATTCACTTGTCCTATTAGAAATAACAGAGACTGAAT